CTCATATCTTGCTAGAGCTTTAAGTTTAGGGTTACGATTAACTGCAAATATGATTGGTGGACACGTCCTATTAAAAATCTTCTCTACATTCACATGGAAAGCTGTTATAGGTGGACCGCTTTTATTAGTAATTAGCGTAGTGCCATTCGCCTTTATCGTTGCTTTCACTGGATTAGAGCTTGCTATAGCTTTCATACAGGCCTACGTATTTACTATGTTAACGGCTTCATATCTTAACGATGCAATTAATTTACATTAGTTTTGATTGTGTTTATTATAATTAATAAACACCCCCCTCTTCTCTCCATCAAGAAATTCTTAGTAAAAAGGATGATTAAAGTATTAATCCGACCATTCCCGAAAATGTATATATAGTAATAAGTACAATAAGGATTTATTAAAAATGACAACTCTATACAGTATTGTTTTTATCAAAGGTTCGAGTCTACTCGAGCTTGTGCTAGTGTTTATACAAACTGCCTCATATATCGCTAAAGCTTTAGCTAGCTTAGGGTTACGATTAACTGCGAGTATGATTGGTGGTATTAAAATTTACTTAATTGGTGGGTTAATTGGTGGGTTAATTGTTTCGTTTATTGGTGGGTTAATTGTTCCCTTCTCATTTATATTTAGTGATTTCCCTCCCCAAGAAGTCTTTTATCTTTCTTGTCTCCCTTTGACATGTGAAAAGGGAGCCTGTTCCAGCTCTCGGACAGGTTTTATAAACCGGTATTATTCTACTAAAAGGTTTACAAATGTGGAGAGAAATTCGTTTTCTATCTCTCCTGAAGCTCATAATATCTTAATAGGCTTATGTTTAGGAGACATCTATATTGATAGACAGGCAATAAATGCTAGATTAAAATTTGAGCAAGGTTTAATTCATGAATCATATCTTTTACATTTATATGATTTATTTAAAGATTATTGTGGTACAAGCCCCAAACTTCATAATCGTAATCTTAAACCTCAGACAGGAGATATTAGTAATACGGTATATTTTAGTACTTATTCTTTACCTTGTTTTAATTATTATCACGATCTCTTTTATTTAAATAAAGTAAAAAGAGTTCCATTAAACATTGGGGAGTTAATAACACCAATTGGTTTAGCGTATTGGGCTATGGATGATGGCGGTAAATATAATTATAATAATTTTATATTATGTACCAATTCTTTTTCTTATGAAGAAGTTCAGTTATTAGTCAAGGTTTTAAAGGATAACTTTGATTTAAATTGTTCAATCCAGACACAAAATAAGGATCAGTATAGAATTTATATTTTAAAAGATTCTATGATAAAATTTCGAGCTCTTGTAGCTCCATATTTCCATAAATCTATGATGTATAAACTAACTGTTTAAATAAATACTCAGGCTATATTCAATAGTTGGTAGGGGTATATAAATATATTAGCTTGATATTTTCTTAAAATTTGCATATAAACACCCCCCCCTCCCTTTATATCCCCAACACGTATTATTAAAAATCTTCTCTACATTTACTTGGAAGGCAGTAATTGGTGGTCCAATATTATTAGTAATTAGTATTATACCATTTACATTCATTATAGCCTTTACAGGGTTAGAGCTTGCTATAGCTTTCATACAGGCCTACGTATTTACTATGTTAACGGCTTCATATCTTAATGATGCAATTAATTTACATTAATTTTGTTATATTTATTGTGTTAATTTAGGACAACTAAATTAACACCCCCCCTGTTCGGCCCGCCCCGCGGGGCGAGCCTGTTTATTTATTTAAGAATATTAATAACTCAATAACTATAAAAACTATTCAGCCTATTACATTTTCATATTAATAAGGATAATAATTTAGAGGTTTGTTCAGTCTATTTGGTTCACATATAAGCAACGGTTTAATTCCTCTATCCTTTATCATCCTTCTATAAAGTGTGTCAAGTAAATAAGAATTTCTATTAAAAGTTAAAAAGCAGTCGGTTATTTAAAGACCAAATGCAAACAGTATAAATAGATGGTTAATTACCATTTTGGGAACAAAAAAATTAATTATAAAATATAATGAATTTAAATAAAAATAACACCATTAACACAACCCTTAACCCTTGGACTATAACAGGTTATGTAGAAGCTGAGGGTAATTTTTCGATCTCTATTTATCCATATAGCCATCGTATATTAAGATATATTTCTTTTAATATTCGTATCCATTCCGAGGATCTTATTTTCTTAACTCTAATAAAAGATAATTTTAATTGTGGTACAATTTCTTCTATAGACAAAAATGGCCATGTAACTTTTACAGTTAAAAGAATAGATGATATAATCAATATTATTATTCCTTTCTTTACTAAGTACCCTTTACGAGGTACTAAATATTTAGATTACATTTTATTTGTTGAAGCAACATTAATCTTTAGTAAAAATGAACACCTTACTGAAAAAGGAACTGCTAAATTATTAGAATTAAAAAATCTAATAAATACTAATAGAGACAAATCAAAATTTATTCAACCTGAGCATACGGTTATAAATAACAAAGCTTATATCCCTATGGATCCTAATTATATTAGTGGATTTACTATAGGAGATGGCCATTTTTCTTTAAGAACTAATTCAGCTAATGTTAAAAATCAAGTATTTGGTTCTCTTACTTATGGAATGACTCAACATATTGATAACACTTATTTGTTAAAATCTATTTTACTAACTTTTAATTTAGAAAATGTAGATATTCATAAAAAATCACAAGATTCAGTTCAAATAAATATTAGTAATCGTAAAATAATAAAAGATATTATTATACCTTTTTTTGACCAATACCCTTTATATGGTATGAAATTAATTTATTTTAATAAAATAAAAGACATAATGTTATTGTTGGGCAGTAATTCAATAAATGGTCGGGTAAAATGGACTCCTAATTTAAAAGAAAAAATTCTTAATATTTGGACTAACAACTCTTCCGTTTTAAATGAAGATGCAACACTTAAAATAAAAGGCTGGGAATAATAATTATAATTTAATATTTATGGCGATCAATAAAGTCTCTTTTTCTTAATTAATAGATTAAAATAGAAATGCTAAGTTAAATCATGAAAATGATGAATAGATTTGGGAACTATTCCGTGTGGTATGATCACACGTTAACACCCCCCCCGTCGGGCCCCTCTCTATAAGTTATATGTATTCACTATGTTAACGGCTTCATATTTAAATGATGCTATTAACTTACATTAATATTAAACCTGATTTTGATATTAATATGTTTATTTTCATAAGGGATAAACACCCCCCCCCCGGGCTCTTTTTTATACAAATCTTTATTATTTAAGGTCTCTTTTTATATTAATGATTATTAATAGAGTATTAAATATTGACTAATTAATTGTTTATAGGGAATTCTATATCGATTAATTATTATTGAATTAAAGTGACCATGCCCGTTTATATACATAAAATAATAAGTACAATTATATTTATTAAAATGTCAACTTTAAATAATACTGTTCTCATAGACAATTTATCTTTTGTCCCCCGCAAAATTTTTTTGTCTTAAATTGTTTATTCAATTAACTCAATTGAAAGTTGTTATTCAATTGAAAGTTCAAGTCTTCTCATATTTAACTAAAGCTTTAAGTTTATGGTTACGATTAACTGTTAATATGATTGAATACACAATAGTACTTAAAATCTTTTATTTTTTTAATTTTAAGTCTAGTCTTTCTATATAAAGCTTTATTCTCAGGGGTACTTGAAGGATTACCCCAAACATTATTAACCCCCACAGCATCTTTTGATCTTATTTTATCTACTTTTGTCCCTGTTATGATATATCCTAATGCTGAGACGGCTAGGTCTACAATCCTAGCGGAATATAAAGGTGAAGCTGAGTTGGTATTTATCAAGATAATTCATAAATAGATAAGCAGAATTAAAATTTACAGAAGAATAATAATAACAATCAGTTTTTTTTCTATAACCTATAGATCCTTTTAATTCATTTTTAATTTGAATTAAAATTTGATTAGTTTTTTCTATATCACATATGGATCCTCCTAATTCAATTTTATTAAGATTTTGATAATATTTTCTATATATAGGGTACTGAAGTATTCACCCCCCCCGGGAATATCCTTACATTAATCTTCATAATATATATAATTATCTCAGAATATGTGTTATACTCAATAAATTAACAAAGTCTTAAGCAGAGTAAAAATTAAATATCCTATAGAGGAGAATTCTCTATGGTGGAGAACTTGACTGTAAATTAAGCAACCGAAAGGTTATAGGGAGTTCGATTCTCTCTCTTCTCAATTAATTAATTAATTTACTTTAATTATTATTGTTTCACACAGAAAAATACAACTTTTTGTCTGGCCTAGGGGGTTAGTAATTTTAATAAATCTTGTCCGGGTCCCCGGCCGGGAAGTGTACACCTAAATAATCTATTTTGGGATAATTGTTCTTTAAATATATGGGATGCGAGAAGGAGTGTCATTCGAGTGTAGTCCCTTGTTTATAGGGGGTATAGCAAAAATATAGGGGGGGTGGGTATAAAGAAAATTGAGTAAAAAAAAAAATATATAGCCATATACTATTGAGACAAAAAAAATCCTGTAAGTTAATATAAACCCCTTTAAAAGTTTTACAGATACTGTTAAACAATATTATTGCAATACAGCTTCAATATCTTGTTATCCCGAGAGAGGTAAATTATTACAGAAAAAAGGATTGAGATAAAAATTGCTTTAAATTAGGGAAGGGCCCTTTAAAATTAAAAATTTTTATACTCTATTATGCTTTGTAATGTTTAAAAATATTATAAAAGGCACACTTAGCAATATTTAAATTTAGAGTAAGTCTAAACTATTCATTATAAATTGATGAAGAATGTAAAAAAAAAAGGGATATTGTGTAAATTTAGTCTTTTTCAAACATAGTAAGTAGACAAAAAGTTTTTTTGGCTTAAACCGGGGGTTGAACCAGTAATTCAACTGTGAAGGAGTTGCTATTTTGACTTTAGCCGGAATCGAACCGGCAACTCTACTGTGAAGGAGTAGCGTCTTACCGTTTGACTATAAAGCCTTATATTATATATCCACTAAACAGATTGGGTGTTTAAAAAGTTTTTTTTTCTTTTTAAATTAATCAGAATTGATAATAATATCTTTGCCCCTACTATTCTTTATTTTTGTTTATTTTTTAGACTTAGACAAGGCCCATTGTTCTTTGTATAAATTATACATTTGAGCAATATTCCAATATTGTTTTACTATAAGTATTAAAAAAATTCCCTCGCCTGTCGAACAGAAGAAAAAGTATTAACCAATAGACCGTCTTTTGGATATATATTAATAGTGGTTCCTCGAGTGGCACTCAATTTTGCTTTAGTCTCAGCAGAACGTGCCTTACCAAAATTCAGATCCCCCCCAGATTTAGCTAAGCTCCTTTTTGCTTTAGCTCCAACAGAAAAAGTTTTACCAAATAAAGGGAGATTTTTTCCCTTTCGGGGCTTTGCTAATTTCTGCTTTAGACTCTTCAGATCTAAATATACCAGATTTGATTTCACTAATTGAAGCTTTCCCTGAACGTTTTTGCCCCAAAGAACCCCCCTGCTATTTTTTGAATATGTAATTTAGGCTCCAGACTATCTAAATTAGATTGTTCCTGTGAAAGAATCAAAAATTTTAGCCTTATCTTTCGATAGATTGCTAATATCTATATACTGACCGCCCCCCCCCCTAAGGGGCTCTAATGTTGATAAACTAAATGCAGAACGAGAGTGATGGATTAAAGCATTGCAAATATAATAATTCGCCTTTTTTTAACTTTAAAGGAGAATAATGATCTTTCAATCGTCTAGATAAACCCATGGCAAAAGCAATATGAGTTTATCGGGGCCCCTGTGGGGCCATTGACAGACCCCAGCTTTACCTTTATGCCCTGATAAAATAGTTGATTTATCTGTTTCCGTATTAAGATAAGCTCTTACGGCTGCTGAGGAACCCCCCCTCCCTCCTCTTAGGCCCTCTTTTTAGGGATAAATAAATAAAAATTTTGGCATTTTAAGACCTAATTTTAGAAGGGGGCCCATAATAATAAAATATGCGAATCCGACCAAGTCCGGAAAATATATATAACAAGAATTAATTAAAAGATAGTTTAATTTAATTCATGCCTTTATTGACATGAAATAACAAAAATATAAAAAATGTTAGCAAGCGCAAAAATCATAGGTGCAGGATTAGCTACAATCGGATTAGCTGGAGCAGGTGTTGGGATCGGGACAGTATTTGCTGCATTAGTAAACTCTACTGCTAGAAACCCTTCTATCAAAGGTCAATTATTCTCTTATACAATCTTAGGTTTCGCTCTTACGGAAGCAATCGGATTATTCGCGTTAATGATGGCTTTCTTATTATTATACTCATAATTGTAACAATAGCCGGAATTAACACCCCCCCTCTACATCTTTAGATAAATTAGTAATACCTAGATATGTGTTCAAGATTGTTTAGGCTAAATATATGAAAACCTTGTTTGCATAAAGCTTTATTTATAAACATGTTAATCTCTCCCCGAGACCGAAGATAAATTAACATTATAGTAGTATTTTATTCTTTTTGGTAAATCCCGGCTTTGCTTTACACCTAGTTAGAATAATTGGCTTTCTCTTTCCCCCCCCCTTGTTTCATGTATAAGCTGTGCAAAAGATTTATAGATTTTATAAGATAATAATTACCTTACATTTTCTTAATTCTTTATCTTTATTTAAGACCCCTTTTAAGAGGGTCTATACAATTTTATAGAGACCTTACTTAGCCCTCAAATCTTTCCTGGACTAAGGGGACGAGTCTAATAGAGCTAACCAGAATTTATGCAGTTACCTTTAATCGAAAAAGGAATTTCGCTTTGGAAGAGCACTGGTTTACCATTAACCTATAACTGCCTATTTATCTATATAGCTATTAAGAATAATTAAAAAAATCGCGAGGTTTGCTAGTAAAGAAGAGATATTAACAAGGTCTATTATAAAAATAAATTATAGAAAAATATTATTCGAGTAAAAAAAAAAGATTATTTTTAGTCTAAGTAGAAAAATAATAAGCTAAGTTTATTTTAGATGGTCTTTATTTTTAGGTTAAAATATAAAATGCTAAGACTATTTTTAATTCCTATTTTAATTAGTTTTATATCCACTTCATAACCCAAGGCTCGAAGTTTTACCCCCCTCATAGGGTAATTTAAATTATCTTTGGGGTTAACTAGATATTTAATAAGTTTTATCCCTTTTATTACTTATTACTGTACGAAACGGGCCCTGCTCTATTTTTTTTTTATAAAACACTTGAATGGATTTGAACCACTATTACTAAGTTTCGAAGACTCATACTTTTCCAATTAAGTTACAAGTGCTTATAGGTTAATTAATTATAGTTGTTTGTATTTCTCCTCCCCACTGTTAAGGTCTCCGCCGATAGTGGTTGATTAACTCGTCAGGCCCCTTACGAAAAGGGTAATGGGCCTTCTCAGTTGAATCCTTCATTTATTTTTAGTATTTGTGATCCTTATAACCCCCTTTCCCTAGGTGGACCGTAGTAGGTTAAACAAGAAAAACCACTAACCCCCACATGTGTTCTTAGTAATACCCTACTTTTTTTTAGAATTTTTAGGAAAAAGGGGGCTATAATTAGTATATAATAAAAAAGGCGATTATAGTTCAATTGGCAGAACGGTAGATTGTGGATCTATATACCAAGGTTCGAACCCTTGTTTTCGCCCAAACCAACATTTTAAAAATAGGCCCCCCGCGGGGGGGGCCTAAAAATATGTTAAAAATAGAATATTTTATATCGAAA